CTTCTATGGGCCAATGTAGTCCCCTAGAGTCCCTTAAAGGGATCCCAAAACCCAGGGGTACAACCCTAGGGGTACAAGCCTAAAACCCTAAAACCCTAAACCCTAAACCCCAAACCCTAAGCCTGAAACCCTTGAAGGAGATCTTGAGCCACTACAGCATCTCACTCATCTGGAGCGCATCAACCTTGAGAACACCAAAGTCCATGGGAACCTCAGCTCCCTCAAGGACCTCAGAGTTTAGGGTTTCGGGTTTAGGGTTCATGGTTTAGGGTCCATGGGAACCTCAATGATACACTCAAGGACCTCAAGGTTTAGGGTTTAAGTTCTAGAGTCCATGGGAACCTCAATTATTCACTCAAGGACGTCTAAGTTCTAGGGTCCATGGAAACCCCACGTCACTGAAGGACCTTACTCGGTTGCAGAGGCTGTGCCTTGACAATACAGAAGTGGGTGGTGACTTGGAGCCACTTAAGGCCCTGATCAACTTGGAGTTGCTATCCCTCCCCGACACGCAGGTCACTGGGTTGCTGTTAAGGAATTTAATTTAAGTTACCATAATGGGTATATATAGTAAATAGTAAGGTTTCCCCAATATAGTAACTTAATTTAAGTTCCTTAGCAGCAACCCAGGTTAGTGGAAGCCTCAAGGCACTCAGCAACATGACGAAGCTACACAAAGTGGATATTGGCAACACGCAGGTCAGTGGTAGCCTCAAGCCGCTCATGGGCGCCACCCGGATACTAAATCTAGACCTTCGCAACACGCAGGTCAGTGGTGGCCTTGAGCCCCTCATGGCCCTGACTCAGCTTGAGAACCTGGGTCTTGGCAACACCCAGGTCGGGGGCACCCTTGTGCCGCTGAAAGTCCTCACTCAGGTGCAGCACTTGGACCTCAGCAACACCCAAGTTCTTGGTGACCTAAAGCCACTCACCCCCCTCACCCAGACACTATACCTGGGCCTCCGCAACACACAAGTCACTGGGGATCTTGAACCACTCAAGGTCCTGACCAAGCTGCAGAACCTGCACATTCCCAGCACCAACATAACTGGGACTCTTGAGCCGCTCACAGAACTTAAGCAACTGCAATTCCTTGAGCTACCCAACACGAATATCACTGGGACTCTCCAGTCACTGGCGGCCGCTACGCAGCTGCAAACCCTGGACTTGCGCAACACACAGGTCATTGGTTTAGGGTTTAGGGCTCTAATGGGGGGATATTTAGGGATAATAGAAACAAAGAATCTACTATACAAGAATAGGGTATGTAGATTCATGGGATTATGTGCTCCGCAACGGGCAGGTCATGGGAGGCCTTGAGCCACTCACGGCCCTCACTCAGCTGGAGAACCTGGACCTCCGCAACACCCAGGTCACTGGTGGCCTCGAGCCGCTGACGGCTCTCACCCAGCTGATTCACGTGGAGCTACGCAACACCAATATGACCGGAACCCTCAAGCCACTGACAGCCCAAACTCAGCTGCTATACCTGGACCTCCGCGATACCGAGGTAGTTGGAAGCCTTGAACCACTTGCAGCCCTTGCCGAACTCCAGTACCTGGATCTCAGCAACACCAAGGTTGTTGGTGGTCTCAAGCCGCTGACAGCCCTCACCCAGTTGGAGGCCCTGTACCTGGAAAACACCCAGGTCAATGGAAACCTTCAGCAGCTCATGGCCCTCTCGCAGCTGCAGGAGCTCTACATTGGGGGCACGCGTGTGAGCGGCGACATCGTTGTCCTGATTCAGTTTCCAGATTTACTGGAGGCACGCTTGCTGGCAAATAAAGTGTTGGGGCAGAGTCTGTTGGATGAAATGCAGGTCAAGCTCTTGTATGAGAGTCAAAATAGATTAACGGGAATGCACGAATCCCCATAGTAGCCCCTAAATAATCCTCAATAATGCGGCCGGTTTCATGTTTTCACACGAGGGTTTTTCTTCCTAAATCGTAGTTTCCATTGTCGTTTGCATTCCTTCATTACGCCTCAAACCCTCAATATATCTACATGATCCCCCAGTTCCCATTTCAATTTCCATTTGCTTGTGAATTTGGCTTCAAACTGCGAAGTAAACTAGGTAAACCCCATCCCCAGACCCCAAACACCAAACTCCAAACCCTAAGCCCCAAACTCTAAACCCTAAACCCTAAAACCCTAGCCCCCTTCCCTGCATCCACTACCGGAGGCCGGTAAACCCTAAACCCTAAACCCAATAAGTGGCGAGGCCGACCTCAGCTCCACTCTGGTTGGCGGACGCCTCTCGGAATCCTGGCGCGGTCGCCGGGCACAGTTTCAGAACCTAACTCAACACAGGGGTTCTGGGATATCTTGGGTGTAGGGTTGAAACCCTAAACCCTTGCAAAACCCTAAAACCCAATCAAGGATTTTTGGGGAGATTTGGGTTTAGGGTTCGGGCTTCTGTGGGTGGAGGAAATCTTGCATCGTGTCATATAGCCTACACCCCGAAACAATCACTGCAATTTTGGCGTTGTACTTGTAACTGGTGCAAGATCCCTAAACCCTAAACGATTACCTGCATCCACCGTAGGTAGGGAGGTTGCGCCTTTGAGAAAAATGACTCCTCCCAAGCAAGGCGACACTGGCGACACTGCGAATTCGAACTTACAACGGCTTTACCAAGGTTATACAGTCTTCATTGCACTGGTTTTTATAGTCTTTATCATCTTGCAGTAGTTTCCATCATCTTTCATCATTTTCATCCTTGTTGTTTGCAAGTGGG